ACCCCTTTTCTTTTATATATATATATATATATATATATATATATATATATATATATATATATATATATATTATTTTTTTTTTTTATTACATTTTAATGACATTGTGGGTTTGCATGATTGTCTATTTTCAGAGCAAGTTTCGGCACGGATTGTGCAGGAAGTGACAGCAGAGGCAGTGGCGGTGCTAAAGGGAGAACAGGAGACTCAGCGGCTGCCGTCAGGTGAGATGCAGATCCCAATGCTGGCATAAGTGCTACGTGGAAGTAGGAAGAGGAAAACAACAATCTTGTGTGCTTGTCTCACAGAACTGGAGTCTCTGCTGGTTAGCGTTGAGTAAGGGTTAGGACACACTGCCGGCAACTATCCAGGGATTCAAAGACCTACTGAGGCAGCTTTGAGTCAGCATTTTTCACACCTGAAGTTCAAAGGTTCATCTACAATATGTTGTAGCAGAATCTTTGTCAGTGCTTTGCAGAGCCTTACATACGCCTCAGTTTTTCTCATTACAACTACAAACTTTTAATAAATTTACTGGGATTTGATGTAATAGACTGGAAAAGAGTAGTGAAGTAGAAAGAAAGTGATATACAGTTTACAAGCTGTTTGTAAATTCAATCTTACAAGCTGTAGCTTGCTTTTGTCTTTGGAAACCTGGAGTCAGTGCATTGTAAAACCACTTTTACAATTGCAAGCTTTTTTCCTTTTTTTTTTTTTGTTTTCTGAGAATGTTTTTCTGTTTTGCAAGCTAATGTCTACTCAGTTGGATTTAATCCGGGGCTGGACTTTAGCCCAATTCTGACTTATGATTATGCTTTGATCTCAACCTCTTCTTTCAGGAATGCCCTGAGTTTAACTCCATCCATCTTTTCTCAACTCCCTGTTAAGAAAAAGCATCCCGAGGTGTTGCTCAGGTTGATACCCAATGCAATTTTTTTTAACCACACATAATATTTTACATGTATTCCAAAAGGTTCATTTTGGTTTCATCTGACCAGAGGACTTTTCACATGACTGCTCTGTCCCCTACATGGCTCAATTTTTTTTATGGATTTCTTTTCATAGTGCCTTTGTACTTCCCACTCTTCCATGAGGAACACATTTGTAGAGTTCAGATCTAATAGCTCTCCTGTTAACAAGTTATCCCCTCTGAGCTGTGAATCTCTGCAGCTCCTCCAGAGTTACCTTTCATTCCTGGCTGCCTCTCTGAGTAATGCGTTGGTGGATGGACATATGTGATGTTTTGAGATGAGTAAACTGCCAGTTCAAACTTTGGGATATTGTTTTAGAAACCTAAACCAGGTGTAAATGTTTCCATCGCTTTATCCTTGACCTGTTGGGTGTGTTTTTGGTTCACAATGCTGCTCGTTTACTAATAATCTCATAAAAATGTTTAAGGCTTTCATACCAATTCTTTTAATGTTTTCCTTCCCTATTTCTCATTTTAAAGCTAAATATGATTCATTGAAATGCGTGTATGCATTTTGTCAAAATTGGACAAAGGTTCTGGATCTGCAGATGCTTTTGCAAGGCATTGTTCCTGCCACCTTAGAATCTTATATATATATATATATTAGGAGAATATGCATGTACAGAGTAAACAATCATCCTAACTTCGAAAGGAAGTTAGACTTCAAAAATCTGCTTTTTACTTGCCATAGGTCTGTAAGTCCTACATGAGCTTATTCTTCCAATGTATCATCTTCATTGGATTTATGTAGCTGTATGCTTGACTCATCTTCTCAAAATGCCTCTTTACAGTTGAAGATACCACCAACTTGCCTCCCTCCCCTCCCCCTTCACCTGCAGCTGAACACTTTGGTCCCTTGGAGCAAGGTAGGCCAAGAATAAAGAGAGCATACTTCTATTAAACTAGAGTGCGGTCTCTTTCTTTCCGTTGACTGTACCTGTTGGGGTTGTGTATATGCGCTACCCCCTCGCACGAGGGTTTCTCCCAGTCTCCAGTGGGACAAACAACACTATGATGCGTGTTAAGTAAGCCAAAACCGAGCTGCGAAAAGCGACATCATGTTCTTCTTTCTCCTGTCATACATTTCCTGTAATATCTCACCACCTCTCCACCATCCTATGCCTGGAACATAGTCATCCTGACAACCTTCATTTTTGCCATCGTCCATCCAGAGTGAAAGAGACTTCCACCTGCATGTAGACTGTGTTGGTACAGGTATAGTCTTTTTATATGATCCTCTTCATTCAAAACCCATTTTTTAAGCTCTACATGTCAGTCTTCCCGCACACTAAAATCAACCATATTAGGTAACCCTTCAACTTCCTGTTAGCTGTTCCTTTGATTAATTTATGTTTTGCACGTCTTTGGCCATTGGGTTTTCTGCTCATTGTCGTTTGTCTGACTTATTTTGTGTGTGTGTGGCTGTAGTTTATAAGTCAGAGATTAACTCTCTAGTCAACAAAATATCCAATATAAACCTAAATATCTAAAGGTATAACTGAACCGATGTATAAAAAAATGTCAAACAAAATTAAATCAGTGCAATTAAATTGTATAGTTTTAAAATTGTAGTTGCCTTCTGCTGTTGGAAAAGGGTTGTAAAAAAAGTAACTACAATTAAACTAAGTGCTATTATTAGCTGTTTTCTTTCCACTTTGACACATAGACCAGTGAGAGTATGCTTAATTTTTGTGACAGTAAAAAGTGCTCCTAAAACTTGAAATATTGCTGATAAATGATTCAAAAACAAAAAAATTACATAGGTGCATCTCAATAAATTAGAATTTAATGAGATAGTAAAATAAAAAAAGTGAAATTTTATTCTTTTTCCAGAAAATAATATTGAATAAGAGCTGAGAAAAGAAGTATTTTTAACACAGAAGACCTTTTAAGAGGTCTGTCTGGTTATTGCACAGTATATGCATTCCATACTTTGTAGGAGCTCCTCTTAAATTATTGCTTCAGTGCGTCTTGGCATGGATCTGATAATTTTCTGACACATCTATTGTGTTCAGGAAGCTTTACAGGAGCTCTGTACTTTGTCTCTCATCTTCTTTTTACATTTCTCCATAACTTCTTTATGGGGTTTAGGTAAGGCAAGTTTGCTGGCCAGTCAGGCACACTAATACAATAGAGCCTCCTTCTGCTGATGAGCAGAAAGCACAAAGTGGTAAAATATACTGTGGGAGTGACTCTATATTAAAGCAAACACAGAGAACCAGAAGATGACATGGCTCTCAAAAATAATCACCGACAATAGAAACCTCATTAGATTTCAAAAAAAGTCTGATTCAGACCCCTTCCACTCTTGCTCTACAATCGGAGACATGGATATTCTGAATGAGTTAAAATGCTTCTCCCCTTGTCTTGTTCAGAATCTGATTACATAAGAACTATGATGGTTCATACAACTGTGTGTGATTGCTCTTGAAGGGCTGACTCCAGCTGCTGCCCACATTGTGAATCACCTACAGTACAAACTCTTGAATGGCCTTTCCTGCACAACTCTCGCAAGGTTGCAGATTTTGTCCCTATTGCATGCATGCTTTTTTCTAGAACACCGTTTCCATCCACCCAACTTTCTAATGGACACGACACTTTAAATAACCAGCTTCTTTAGCGAGGATATTTTGTGGCTTACCTTCATTGTGGAAGGTGTCATTGATTTTTGGCTGGACAACTGTCAAGTCAGCCGTCTTCCCCATAGTCGAGGAAACGATGAGAAAATATTTCTGTTCACAAAATCTATTTATTGGTACGATATAATATCATCCAATTATCTGAGAAACAAAAATGTAATGTATCATTTCCATGATTATCAAAACAGATTATGTTGTTTTCATTTTTAAATGAAAATACTGCAAATAAATTTACACTTTGCTGACACCCTAATTTATTTAGATGCACCTGTTGTTTTTGACTGGTCTGAAAAATATCAAGGTTTAGATATTTGAAAATGTTTTGTGTCCATTTTACAGTTTAGACTAAAAGCCTTTTTTCTGGTTATATGTCCTTCACCGAATAATAAAATCTCTCTTGCTGATAATGTTAACTGTGTTTTATTTGTGTTCTATAATAGTAGAAAGGAGCAGATGTCTCCATCAAATTTTGCCTTCTTTGATAGTCTTAGCTAGATAAAGGCTGGCCCCCAAAGCTTTGATTCATTTGAGTTGCTTGTCCACTTGTTGCTGTGTGTGTTATGTGTCTGTTCTCCTCTACCAAGCTTTTTCTCACATTCTTTTTTTCTACTTTTGTATTTTTTCTTCTTCTAAACATCTTTCTTTTTTATTTTATTCTGAAGCTTTTTGGTCTGCAAAAAAATGTCCATCTTAAAACAAGAACAGGCCAGACCCTCTATTAAAAATAATCTAAATGTCCACAGTTTGCCCAAGTTAAACTTAGGGTTAAATTTAGCATGACCTATTACTCAGCCTTATGAATTTCTTTATTTCCTGTTACAGATATAAATAAATTAAAGGCTAATTTAATGATTAGGTTTTGGTACAAAATCATATAAGGTGAACTTATTTTCCATTTGAACAACCTTTGTTTGGCACAATCCTTACTCTTCTTCTACACTTTTTGACAATGTGCTTTGGATCAATATGACATTATGAGACCCATTGACAACACATTTTCAGTTTCCAGGTATTTAGGTTATGTCCACCTGGTATTTGGCTTTCAAAGACTTCATGATGCTTTAAATATGAACAAAATTGCCTGGACTTTAGAAGAGACAGAGGCCATGATTATCACAGATACCCATCAGTAGACTTCACAAGATATTTTGGATATTCATCTTTCATTTAATGCCAGACTCAGTTGATGTGTTGCTGTAAACTCAGTCTGTTTCAGCTTACTACAGCACATCATTCAAGCTAAAGTCCTGCATATATAGTTGGAATAGTAAGATAGAAAAGACTTTTATGGCATCACCGCCAAATGAGCGTTAAATAACATTATTATTGTGAATTGCAAACACCCCATGCCACTCGGCTGCCAATATGTGGCACCTGCTTTTTGTCTTCTCATGAGATTTTTTCCCAACTAAATAACTGCAATAAAAATAGGAGGACTTTTATAAACATTTTGGTGCTTGCCTGTGCTGCAAGTGGTACAACAAAGTGTTAATAGTTAGCAAAACTGTCTGGACTTTGAAATACAACTATTAAGTCACTTAATAAAATCCCTTTAAGATGGTCATTCTTTGTGTGTATTCTTCATTTTCTTCTTTTATCAATTCCTCCTTTTCACTGTCTCTCTTTCAGTCTGTGTGTCCAAATTTCCCTGCAGTTCTTCTCCTTGTGTCTGTCTTGTTCGTAGATGTAGGGGATGAGGAGGAGGCGGGCCCTCTCCGCCGCTTCCAAAATTCTCGGGAGAGGTGCAAGTTCCTCGCCCCCTCCATCTCAGTTTCCGTGCCCGAGGACGACCCCTACCACTCCGACGAGGAGTACTATGAGCACCCATTGTTCAGCCCAGAGTGGACGCACTCGGGCGCTCGCCCCACAGGGCACGCCGTGGCCTTTAGACAGATTGAAGGTGAACCACGCATGGTTCCTCTTTGCCATTCTCCCCTCATCTCCTCCCTCCTTCGTTGTTTTCCTTCTGTGATACTACCTTCTTCCTTCATTCCTACCCTCTTTTTGTCCTTCCGTCTCTCCGTCCTTCAGTTCGTCTCGTCGTCTGTCTTGGTGTGATGTTTGTGTGTCCTTTGTGATGTGCATCCACTCAAAATCTGACATTTTTATTTGCCAGTCATACTTTTTCTTGTCATTCATTTTAACCGAAACAGTTGCTAGCTGTGGTTGCCCCGCCGTTAACTCTAGTACATAGCAGTGATGTGTATAAAGTCTGACAATGTGTTTTTGTAAGCCACTCAGTGAGCATTTTCATCAGTAACATTGTTGCCCACAAAGCTGACTCTCAGGACATGACTTAAGCTCCATTGCTCCCATAACTGTCTGAGAAACTGTGCATATCCTCTATGCACACATCCCTCCCCTCCTTGCCAAACATTTTCCAGTCTTGTGCTGTAGTCCATTCCTTTAGATTACCCCAGTTTCTTTCACTGTGGTGTACTGTGCATACTTACATACATCTCACAAAGACTTAACACTTACAGTGTGGCAACAAGGACGACTTTCAGCTCCATCATGCACTTCAGACGTAGTTCAAAATCTGAGACTGTTATTGCATCTGACTCAGAATTTGAATCTTTCCCCACAACAATTTAAAGATGGGTGATAGTATAAAATCTAATTTAAATGTAGTCTAAATGGCACTTTTAAATGTTAGTAATATATAGAATTGATTACAATCAGTTATTTACCCATTCATATACATACACACACTCAACCTGCCTATGTGTGAATGAATGAGTGAATGACTGATTGTATTGTAAAGCTCTTTGGAGTTTTTTTTTTTTACTTACTTCCTTACTTAAAAAAGGAAATATTGCAAGGTTTTAGTAGTTTAGTAGTCAATTTTTTTGATCATGTTGGTTTACAGTGCCTATAAATAAACATAAGCACACCACATAAACTGTTGCAAATTATCTCCTGTTGTATTGCTAGTTAAATAATGAACCTCGGAATAACCCTTTCATGTCTAGACTGAAATCCTCATTGGATATTGAGTTATTAAAACTGATGACAGATGAAAGGAGGACTACATAAGCCTTCACAATGGAAAACTAGCTCAAAAGTAGCTCCTGCTTCACTTATGTGGCTCTATAGGTGTGACAAGTGGTGGAAAGCAAAAAAATGTGAGATAACGATGGTCTCATCTCAAATTGTTTTTCACAAGTTTTGTTGGTAATTAGTGGATTACCATCACTAACTGTACCAGCAGCTATGCCAACTGTATTTTTTAAATCCAGTAAATAAAAATAGGTGTTCAAAGGTGTTTTGAAAAAGGTTCATTTTTGGGGGGAGGTGTTGGAGGGGGACTTCCTACCCACAAAGATTCAGTCATAGATCCTGGAGCTGACTAAAGTAAAAGTAAAGAAACATTATTATTTTCTAGCTATTTATAGATAGTGCAATTGAAAAAATTTAAATCATCACAGGGCAAATATCTTTTTATAAACGTTATCACTCCCCTTTATATGTACATCTCAAATGGGTAGGGAATCCTTTTCACCTACAAAAGTGGTCAAGGCCCACCAAAATGAATCAATGACAGTATTAAAATGACACAAACCACTTTAAAGATGAATTATTAAATAAATATTCATTTGTGCCAAAATGTTTATTGTACGGGGAAGATCCATTAATAAAAATGAACCTGACTCTAATTTGCTGTGCAGGTTCACCAATTAGATGGCAATTTATTTAAAGGGAAACAGAGACAGTTTTCACTTATTTCACGATGGACTGCAAATCATAAACAAAACTGTTAGATTTTTGAAGGAGTCGGTAGCTTGATTATTTTACAGTATCTTACATAAATGGACATATTGAAATATGTAATGCATGTTTATTACATGTAAAAATATCTGGGCTTATTTATAAATTGGATTGTGGCATTTTTAGTTTCCCTCAGAGAGTGCCTTTTTTATGTAAATACAAGTCACAAAGTATATGATAAAATAGTTAATTATTTTAAACACTCACTCAAGATCCCTCTAAATTAAAACTCCATGTTCTCACTGTTTTTGTGTGAAAAAGCTAACTGTTTGGGTCACCTTCTTACAGAGCTGAAAGTATCCCCTCATAAGTTATGTTCTTACATAACCCAAGTCTGTGTTGCCTGTAGTCTTATTGTGTCCCCCCTTTCACCCTGTTTTTGAGAAGAAGAGACCATGGAGGCTCTTACAGCTGAATACGAGGAAGAGGAGGAAGAGGTTGAAGAGGAGGAGGAGGAGGAGGAGGAGGAGGAGAGTGCAGAGGCGGCAATGTCCGAAGCAGCTCTTGATGAGCAGCAGTGGAGTGGGGAAGAGCCCGAGCTGGACAGCCCCAAAGCTGAACTCTTAGATCAGACAGAGGCCTTAGACGAGGCACAGGTTGTAGACCTGGGGCAGTCTGAGGCAGCTAGTGCTGCCACAGAAAGCTCTGTGGACAGAGAGGAGGAAGAGGAGGAGGAGGAGGAGGATGCAGAGGGTGAGGAAAGCCATGAGACAGGTGTGTCCTGCCCTCTGCTCTCCCTGCCTGCATGTTACTGCATTTGACACTCTATTACAACGCAAGATGTGTCAGAAAGGAAGCAAATAACATAAGCATTATTATTCTACTGGAATGGCAAGTAATCCTCTCTGCGCTCTGCTGCGGCTGCAAGGCAACACAGGCTTGTTGGTGAAAAGAGTCACATTGTTCAAATTAACGTGGTTTTCTTGTGTGGTGTCTTTGCTTGTGTTCTTTTTTCTTTTTTCTTTTATTTACTTGATGTAGTTTTTGGGGCCGGCCATTTCGTCTTGGTATAATGATGTGAAGTGACGCTAAACGTAACCGTGCTTTTTCTTTTTAATTTCCCCAGCTTATAAGCTTACTAGTCTCTCATTATGTTCAAACATAATGGCTTGGTGCTGGTATGCCAGTGCTGCACATTTAATGTTACCATGAATCGCAGTAGATAGAACATGCATTACATTTTTAATCACCAGTCTCAGTACAGAGAGTTTATAAGGGAACTGTGTTTGGTGTGTCTTGCTCAGTGTGGTACAGGTGTTTGTTGAACCATATGTATATTTGCAATTATATCTTCATCAAAAAAGCAAAAATTATATTAATTTGCTTTTTTCCTCACCATTTGTGAGTGACATATAGCATTTCTCTGTCATTCTTGGGATGCTTGTTTCTTAGATGAGAAAATTACATTACGCTACCAAAGTTCCATGAGATGCTCTAACAGATTTATGATTTATAACTTTTATCTTAAAGTGTAGCGATTTTCAACGAATGACAGAAATGCTGTATCCCTTATAGTTGGTTTTGATGCATGGGTACTCCTCCCATCTCTTATAACTGTTTTCCCATAAATCAGCATTACAGTTGCCTCACGCCGACTCCGTCACACTCCATCTCATGTCTTTCATCCATCTGTGACATGGTGGGCCCTTAATCTTGCCGTACCTCTTCAGTGATGGCTGTATTTGTGCTGTAAGTTTCCAAAGGAGAGCTTTGCCTGGTTGTGTGCAAGCTTTCCCAGTGACCGGCTTACAAACGATCCTTGTTCATAGCATGCTTAAGCAATATTTTTTTCTTTTGTGAAAGAAACAGTCAACTTACAGATATCTTTGCAGCTTTGAAGATGGATGCAGACAAGCAGGACAGTGAGTCGATGAGCCCTGACAGCATTGGATCAGAAAAGCGCCCTGAGGAGTTTTTTGAGCCTCAGATGCAAGGTTTCTTTGCTGGTGAACGAGTTGTACCGGAGAGCCCGACCATGGATATGCCATCTTTTGTGCCTCCAGATGTTCAAATCCAAGCCAAAGAACCAGTCAGATCTCTCACACTTCAGCCCACATATGGGGAGCCAATCACAGTGTCAGAAAAACAGCCATCAGTGGAGGTGGTGGAGTTCAGCAGCATCACTGCTCCTTCTGACTTTTCTTCGATGGGAGTTAAAGCTCAGGCAGGAGACACAACTAGAGAGGCCAGAGACAAATCAGGCATGTCGGCATACTTTGAAACTTCAACTATGGAGACCGAGGAAGGTACAGAATGTAAGGGCGAGGGTTATTATGAACTGAGTCGATCTGGTGAAAAAACGAATAAAGATGATTCCAAGTCCCAAGAAGTCAGCTACAGCACACTGGCAGAAGCTAAGGATAACCCTGGAATAAAAACAGCTCCACCTGGAGATACCGACATGTTTGCAATTCCTGATAGAAGTAATGAATGCAGGCTTTCGCCCGGTAAGCTCGCCTTAGAGCAGAGGAGTTATTCACTCAACATCACCATTGGAACAACAGATCAGAGTGGACAAGGCAGGCAAAGAAACTTCACCCCCCTGGCCACAGACATCATGTCATATACAAGTGGAAGTCTTGACGAGTCGGCTGACTACCTTCCAGTTTCTACACCCTGCATAGATAAGCCTCCGTCATTTCCTCCTCTCATCCTTGAGACTGCTGCTTCAGTCACATCGGATTCCTCTTCCCCTCCAAGATCCGCTGAACCACCATTAAAGGTCAGTCCAGAACCTGAATCTCCTGAATCACCCGAGCCAAATAAAGGCCCTTACAAAAATGGTTCAGTGATGACACAGGACTTGCCGGAGATGCTAGACCTTGCTGGTACCCGGTCCAGGCTGGCTTCAGAAAACGCAGACCCTGAAATAATCCAGAAGAAGCCACTCAAAGATGATGTTCCTATCTTCACTGATGATCCTCTCGCTAGTATGACTTCAGGGGAGCTGAGTCCTGGTGTAAGAAAAAGTGATAGTCAACTGGAAGAGATGGGGTATTGTGTGTTCAGTGAATATTCAGGGCCTATGCCATCCCCTGCAGATGTCCTCAGCCCTACAAACACCTGTGGACAAGTTTTTACCCCTTCTGTCTTGGAGGAGAAAGTGGCTGAACAGGCAAGAAAATTAGCAGTAAGAGATACATCCTTGGAAGACAAGACTTTGTCATCTGGAGGTGCCGATGTTTATGAGAGGGATGACCAAAGCCAAGGGGAAAGAAATGATTCACTTGAAGAAAGCAGCAAATACGATTCAAATGATCATCCAGCAAAATCTGTAAGTGAGACACCTTTTGGTCAGCTTAGTGAGCCCTTTGTGACACCAACTGTCACCGTGACTCTAGAGGAAGGAGAGAGGTCAACGAGTGAGACCGAACGCCAAGCCAGTGGCGAAGGTTCAGTATCAGAAACCGAGATCGCCGACTATGAGAGGCAGATCCGCAAGCTGGAGATGGAGGACAGGCCTCTAAGTCTTGAGGAGGAGCGGGAACTCCAGGAGCTCCGGGAGAAAGTGAAGCTGGTGCATCAAGAGGCCTACGAAGAGGTGGATGCTGAGGATGTTTACCAGTTGACTGGCATGGCCAAGGACCGCATTGCCAGGCCAGTGAAAACATCACCTACTTCTTCTATAGAGAGCAACATTGATGATGACAAACTGCTTTCCCCAGTACTCTCACCCTCCAAACTTAAGCAAAGAGAATTATACGGTTCACCCAAAAGAGCAGCTTCGCCTGTGTCAGGAGTAAACAAAGATGAAAGGGATGAACAAGAGAGGAAAATGAAGGAAGACCAAGAAAGGGAAGCAACTGAGCGAATAAAGAAAGACGAGGAAGAGAGAAGAATGAAGGAGGAAGCAGAATTCAAAGAAAGAGAGGAACAAGAGAGAAGGGAGAAAAAAGAGGCGGAAAGGATACTGAAGGAAGAGAGAGAAAGGCACGAGAAAGAGTTGACAGAAAGACTTGAGAAAGAACATAAAGAGAAAGAGGAGATGGAGATGAAAGAAATGGAGGAGAAAGAGAAGAAAGAGAGGGTAGAAAGAGAAGAGAGGGAGAGAAAAGATAAAGAAGAATTGGAGATGAAGGAAAAAGAAGAGAGAGAGAGGAAGGAGAAAGAAGAAAAGGAGAGGAAAGAAATGGAAGAGAGGGAGAGGAAAGAAATGGAAGAGAGGGAGAGGAAGGAGAAGGAAGAAATACAAGAGAGGGAGAGGAAGGAGAAAGAAGAAAGGGAGAGGAAAGAAATAGAAGAGAGGGAGAGGAAGGAGAAAGAAGAAAAGGAGAGGGAAGAAATAGAAGAGAGGGAGAGGAAGGAGAAAGAAAAGGAGAGGGAAGAAAAAGTGAAAGAACAAATGGAACGAGAGGAAAGAGAAAGGAATGAAAGAATGGAAAAAGAGAGAGCAGAGCAGGAACTGAAAGAGAAAATGGAAAAGGAAAAGATGGAGAGGGAAATAAGAGAGAAGGAGGAGATGGAAAAGATGGAGAGGGAACTCAATAAGGAGAAAGAACAAGAGAAACTGGCTGAAATAGACAAAATGGTTTCAGACCAGCCAGTAGAAGCCAAAGGAATGCAGCAGACAGAAAATGTCTCCATAAATCTTGCTGAAGGAAATCTGCCTAAAAAGGAGAATGCAGAAGTAGAGGTGACAAAAGAGATACCAGAGACCCATGCTGCGATTGAATCTGTGGTGATGGTTGAAGACGATTTCATCACAGTGGTGCAAACCATCGATGAAGCCGAAGAACCTGGTCACAGTGTTCGTTTCTCTGCTCCACCTGAGGCAGAAGCCCTTTGTGTTGGTGCACGGAAAGAAGAAGAAGAAGGGGCAGAAGATGATGAATCTATAGAGCTGGCTGAGGAAGCAGATTTGGAGGCAGCCAGCCTTGAAGAGGTAGGGGAAGTTCCTGAAGCCCCTGCCTCCCCAGCACAGGAAGCTCAGACCAGAGAAACAGAGGGACGGTCAGAAAGCTACGATAGAGATGAAACTACAGTTGATGACTCCATCCTTGACAGCTCCTGGGTAGACACACAAGGTAATATCATTTAAAATATATCATTTTGTAGTATTTAGCCCAGACCCTTTTCCTGCTGCTGTTTCTAAGCAGGTAATGTGTTTTTCTTTTCCCCATGTCTTGTCTACTAGATGATGATAGGAGTATGGCAACGGAGCAGATTGAGCTTTTACCCAAGGTGCCCAGTCCAGTTAAGAAACCGGCTGTCGTACAGAGTAGTCTGACAAAACAACGAAGTACGGAAAAACAAGAAAAATCTGTCAAACCCAAAACTAAAGGAGGGCGAGCTAAAGGACGCATCTCCACTCCTGAACGCAAACCTGTTCGCAAAGAGCCCATCTACATACCCAGAGAAGAGATCAAAAAGAAAAAAGGTATTTTTTTTAACAGTGGTTTTTTTTTTCAGTAATCATATACAAATTATTTTCTAATCATATTGAAGAATGGATAATACTGTTTAAATAAATAATCTCCAAATCACCCTTCTTCCTAAAATGAATATCACTACACAATTTTTTTTCGACTGGTTATTTCATGTGAGCAGTAAAAAAAATAAATAAATAAAAACAAAATAACGTTTTTACCTGTACGTACCCCCCAATAAATTGCATTGTGAAACAATGAGTGTTTTCATGTCCTATACTATAATAAACACATGCTAATACCAGCAATATGTGACGCTTAGAGAAAAACAAACAAAAATAAAGAAAACATTTTCTGTATCAAAGGACAAATATCAATATTTTTTACAAATTTTTTCCAGGCTTGTACCTCTAAACTGCTATATTAACTTCCAGGACCGCAATTGAGAAATATGTAGAAAGTCAAAAGACATAAACATTCATAATCAAACAGCAGAAAGGCACCTAAGTGTAATGATGTCCCCAGGCAAAGGCTCTGAGTGTTTTTAGTCACTTGTTTTGTTTCTTTGAATTTTGCAGCCATCATAAAGAAGACTGAGTTCAACAAAAAAGTGGAGACTCAGACTCTGTCTCCGTCCAAGCGGAGCGCCATGAAGACAGCAGTCCGTCACACGAGGCCGATCCAGCATCACTCCTGCCCAAGAAGGAGACCCACAGGTGAAACATGGGCTTGTTCTGTCAGGCAGTTTCCTTAGCATTTACCAGAACAGCAGTTTCCATCGTGTCAGTCATGCCATGTCAGAGTACTCTTACATAAGGTATTCATTTTTGTTTTATTGATTACAATTACTTGTTTGGTTTTGTGTATTTCTGTTTATGTAATCAGAATTAAACGGATCGGAAGAAATGTTTCATCTGTTTTCATTTAAAAAAAGGTTATGTCCCTTCCTACATTAATTCATTCAGGTTTTTGTACAGGAAAACAAGGTTGTAAAGCTTTTGTACTGTTGTCACTTTAGTTTCCCACTTAATTCTTGCAACTGGTTTGAACTATTAATGATCTATTCTTTATAGTCATACATTTTCATTATAATTGGCCAGCAAATACTGAAGCTGTTACAGTTTTTAAACCATAGTATAAACGCTCTTTTCCACTTTCAAATGTGTGATTCCTTCTAAGCTACTAATCTATGTTTTGTTCCATAAGCAGTCTCTGATGCTGTTCTGTCCCAGAGGCAGTTTGCACCTAATTTTCCCCTGATGGACTGAATTCTGTGTCACCAATGATAAAAGCTCAGCTTTCTGCTGCATTGCCCCAATTAGATTATAGAAATCCTTCACTCTGTATGATTTAATGCCAAGTCTTTGAAGAACAACGCTCTCAAAGGAGCAGCAACCTACTCCCATTGCACATTTGACTCATAGCCTATGAAGCCATACGTGTTTTTACTTATAGCTTGCAACACATGCAAGATCTTGCCTTCTTCCTATAGTGCACATTGGTGCTATGTGTTCCCCAGATTAGTGACACACACACCCCAGGACATCCACCAGTATTCCTCTCTTGTACAACTTTCGATACCAGCAATATGGGACGCAATAGAACAGAATGGTGTTCCTGTCTTACTAATGCAGACAGGAACACCATTAGAAGAGCTGTAGTTTTGGAGATCCTCTGACCACAAGTTGATCCTTGTTCAAGACACCTGTTTTTCTCCAATCTAAGACATACAATTCAAGTATAAATGTGTATTACAAACTATTTAATTGACAATGTAGATCATTTTAAGTACTTCTACTTTAGATTAATTGTATTTAGATTAGATATGTCCTGCTTAATTTTCCCTCATTTCTGTTTCAGAAGCCCTTTCAGACAGTCGCCACCCTCTTAGTGTTGCCAGACAGTCTCGAGACAGAGCATCAGTAAGTATAAAAAGCAAAGTCAACTCTGATGTAACATTTTCCATCAAAGCCAGTTAGAGAAATAACAAAAAAAAAGAAAAAAAAAAAGAAAAACATAGCAACTACATATAAGTGCAGAACAGAACATATCTTAATAGACGGAGATGCTTGAGATCAGGGTCCTAAAAATAAGTCATGCAATCAGAATCACTTTCTTGCCTTTGCCAGCAAACAAGTTCACAGGCTAAAAAATATTTTTATGTAATAATAAGGTAATTGTATCACAGGTTTTGTCTCCTCATTATTTCTAGGCAACTATCACAATGTAAAACACATGGCTGCAAACCTTCTTATCTTCCATGAAGCTAGAAACACTCCAAAAACCTGTTCTTAAATTGGAGAATGAAATATTTTCAAGATACAAATGGCTTGTATTGTAGCTTAAAAAGAGAATATAGCTTGATATAACTATCAAAATACCTCAAAAGTTGACACATATTAGCTGAAATACATCAACTGACAGGAGAATAACACAAACGAATAATATGTTTCTCTTGTAATTTAAAAAAACAGTGACAGTGCTGCCTTTCCATACAGAACTATAAGCTGTTAGATTACTGGTTCTTTTTGCACAGATAGTGAAGACATACCCATTTGGAGTGTTTATTATACCGAGTGGGTGGAGAGTCACCCTGTGACATTTCCCCATCGGCTGGTGTGGTCGTGACTCCATTTTCCTCCTCCACCATGCTAATGACAGTTATTGTGTCTAAAATAACACCATTTCTGCATTCCTTAAATGTCATGTCATTTTCAGCATACTGTAAATGTCTTCTAATACATCTATTAATGTGTGGCTGGTTACTGTTCCCAAAGCTGAACATGATGTTCTATGCTCCACCTTTTTTTATGCTTGTTGATCGACACCTTAAGAATCGTACAAATGTAATGCATCTGATGAATTCTCCTCAGAAGTACTAATGTCACCTGTGTCACCAAGTGGAAGAAGACTAGCTGAAGAAAAATACCGTACGTTACTGTTTGAGCATTAAGCATAGTACCAGAGCTACAATGGAATGGGTTATAGCCTATTGAGTAGAGTGGCTTAATCGGAATCCATACCTAAATACAGGCCAGAATCTGTGACAAGAATTTGAAAGTGATGTTCAAAGAAGCTATTCATTTAATCTGTCTAAGTTCAAGGTATTTTGCAAAGAAGGAAATTTATATTTTCAAGATAGTAATGAGTGACATTAACCAAAAAATAACACCTGTAATTGCAGAAAGTCTTGACTGTATGAAAGTATTTACTCTTTCCAATTCATAAATATGCACTACTTTCTGTTGATTAATCACATAAAATCTTTTGAGCTGCTAATGTTAAAGTTTAAGGCTTACAATTATTTCTTTCTCACTTTATATTTCCACACATTACTCTATGTTAACAGAAAATCACTTTTATTGCTGATAAAAGTGATCAAGTCACTTTTATCAGTGATTTTGATAAAGACTCATGATACTGTTCACTTGAAACTGCTGTCATTCTCATAACTCCTTTGTCACTGTGTTGTTTATATTCACATACTGGGCCACATCGTTGTTCCATTTTAGTGTCATGCTCACCATTTGTTACAGTGATTCCCATCTAGATGTCCAGCCTCATTAGACCACAGAGCTCATCAGAATCACAGTCTTACAGTTGAGATGGGTGGACAGTTGTTTGGCAGGGCAGCTCCATAAACTGTGAATGTACAGAAATATTATATAATTACAAGAAGTCAACAATTACAAGATACTATTTAAGCTGATGTTACTGCACTAATGAGTTTTTTTTTTTTTTTTCCCATCAGGATGGTGGGTCACGGAGTCCAGTAAAAAGATCATCTGCACCACGTCATGCCTCTATCCTGGGTCGCCGTGGCTACCACGAACACGAGGAGAGTTCAACCTCCATCACCAGCTCTGGATCGACTGCTCCCCGCAGACCCACATGTAGGCTGATCACTTCACTTCACAAAGGCATCAGGCTCCTAACAGTTGTTATGTACAGATTAGGCTCTTTTTCTTGTTGCATTACTTAGCCAGTTCAGATTTTTTTCCCAAGGATATAACATCTAGCTTTATTTTTCTAATCTTTGTTTTAAATGTAGTAAGAATTAAATGTGACAAACACTGACCATAATAGAAAAATGAATGCACCCTTCATCCCAGTCAACACATACTATATAAAACAAAGAACCATCAAGAGCAACTAAGTCTTTTAAAACATGACCTACACTGAATTGCACCTAAACTGAAAGTTTAGGTGCATTATTATTATTATTATTTAATATCTCTTTTTACAGCATTTCGCACTGAAATGAGAGCAGAGCATAGGATAGGACGAGCCCCAAGCATGACAGGTGATGCAGAATTTCAAATGTAATGTGAAATGTTTCTTTTTTTTTTTTTTTTTTTTTTTTTTTTTTTTTTTTTCAATGTTATAATCCAAATGACTTGAAATGAGTTGTATTCGTGTTTGGATATTACAACTGCAAAATTTAGGATTGCAACTCATCCCTGAAGTTCTCCTGTCATCATTTGTTTCAACCATGTAGTTACAGAATCGGTACGTTCCCGTTCAGCTCGCAGTGGGCACTCCACCCCTCGTACCCCGGGCTCCACAGCCATCACCCCAGGAACCCCTCCCAGCTACTCGTCATCTTCAAGAACTCCCGGGACCCCGCGCTCCCTCAGTTTGATTTCCCAGGAGAGGAAAGTGGCGGTGGTCCGCACCCCACCAAAGTCACCCGCAACCACTCCCAAGCAGCTGCGCATCATCAACCAGCCGCTGCCTGACTTCAAGAATGTCAAGTCCAAGATTGGGTCAACAGAGAATATCAAATACCAGCCAAAAGGAGGACAGGTGACATGTCATGTCTTCCAATTTCACCCTCAAAACCTGAAGCCCTTTATGTTGTTTCCTTCATTCATGCATCTCCTTACTTAGTTTTGTTTTCCTTGTATCTTCTTTTATGTCATCATTGATTTGTTACTTTAATATCGACTCATTAAGACAAAACTATAGGCTTAAGTTGCTTTCATATAAATTTCATCCACATCGACCAAAAGTTTTTGTAGCGAAGGAACAAAATTTAGAACAATTTTTTTTTTCCTGTGTATGAAAGTAGGTCTCATAACTGAGTGAAATCATTCTAAAGAGTTTCATACACAGCTGTCCGCATCACAAAAATGGTCTGGGCAAATGGCAATATGCAGAAGTGACAGTTTTGCCTTGCAAATTGTGTTTTTCTAACAAATTCTCACAATTCTTGTCCTGTATGTATCCTAAAGCCTCTTTTCTGAATTGTGTCCACACTTGGTGGTGTTTTGTTGTCTTTGAGATGGATTAGGTTTTTAGAAAAATTAGTTGACTTTGACAGTTTATTAGGTGTGTTCCACTTCACTGAAAAAAAAAAATGTTGAACTGTTACTGAGATGAACTGATCTCATCATTGTGTTTCAAGCATGTTAATGTTTCTTTCATTATTTTTGGCCTATCTATCCCTAAATTAGCACGTGAGACGCTCCAGATTTTAGTACACAGAAATCTTTGACATCTCACTGGGGATTCTTTTCTGAGGGTTTCCACCAGGCTTTGTTTGTAAGGACAGCATCAATATATAGGCTGCACAGTGGCGCAGTTGGTAGAGCTGTTGCCTTGCAGCAAGAAGGTTCTGGGTTCAATTCCCAGCCCCGGTCTTTCTGCATGGAGTTTGCATGTTCTCCCTGTGCATGTGTGGGTTTTCTCTGGTTTCCTCCCACAGTCCAAAAAACATGACTATCAGGTTAATTGGCCTCTCCAAATTGCCCCTAGGTGTGTGTGTGCATGGTTGTTTTTCTCTGTGTTCCCCTGTAACAGACCGGCAACCTGTCCAGGGTGTACCACACCTCTTGCCCGGAACGATAGCTGGAGATAGGCACCAGCAACCCTCCTGACCCCACTGAGGGACAAAGGTGTAAAGGAAATGGATGGATGGATAGCATCAACATATATATTCAAATTATCTTTTCTGATCCAAGGGAGACTGTGCATTTAAGTGCATACACCTCCCTCCCTAGTATTGTCAAGATTTTTTGTCTTGTCTAGGTTTCACCCTGCAACAAAAACAGCAGTGCTGCAGCATCAAGCAAAGTGATGAAAACAGCAGTGTGTGTCTGTAGCCATCAGCTTATACAAGGCTGCACTGATGACCCGATTAGGAGTCTAGGCTTTTGCCTGATGTGTTTATGACTTTTACAGGTCTCTGAGCTGCTTAGTTCAGTCAACTACAAAGTATGGAGGAATCATGTTCCAAACGATGGCCTGTCATCCGCTGAGAAAATTGGATGCTTTGTTTTCCACTGCATGCTTGTTTCTCTAAGATAGCATGATTGGTTATGGTTAATGACATGGTTCTTTTTCCTACTGCTAACAGTGATTTACTTCATCCGTTCCAAAACGGAGTTTCAGAAGTAATCCTGTGGATGTGGAAGTGAATGCATTTTTTGTCCAATGCACAGATCACTTTTCTTAGCTTGTGTTTTTTTATGATACATATTTCAAAATTAACACAAGCAGTTGTGTCCAAACTTGGTAAGAACAGTATAATACTAATGGGCTCATTTGCACTTGAAAAGAAATATTGTGATTTAAAGAAAAGTTTCTCCTGTTTTCATTACAATTATTTTTGCTGCTTCCAACACAAGGCCATTCATTTTGTGTGTTCCTTGTCTTATTACTAAACGATGTCATCTTTTGGTAGCTCATTTGTGTTTTTTTTTTTTTTAATTTTGTTTTATCAGAACTAGGAGAAAACTTCAGATTTTCCAACCTTTTTAGAGCTGCACACTGTCATTTGGCAAATGTAACATTTAATCTGCTCCTCTAGGCAGAAAATCTAAGCTTGAAAGATAGCTGAGTGAGGTTAAGATTCATGTACGTTTGGAGATTCAGTTTTTTCTGATTGCCTACATGTTCTTTTGATGGCCAAAGGGGGATTTTGTACATTTACTGCTGGAAGTCAGTGCTGCACTTCTTTACCATTACTGTTTGTTTGTTTGTTTGTTTGTTTGTTTGTTTGTTTGTTTGTTTGTTTGTTGGCGACACACTGCGTGACCTGGACTCATGGCCTGCTGTTATATATCCTCACTGATAGTTACACTATCCAGGAGAGGTGTTTACTCAAGAGTAAATGTTATTTTACATGAACTGAATGTATTTGTTGCTGCAGATCAAATGAAAATAAAATCAAAAGCAGATTCTCCCTTGAACATTAAAAAAAAAACATTTTGATCTGTAGTCAAGAATTTAAAGAGTTTCAGCAACAGTTTTTGTTTGTTCTGTCACTCTCATTTTTCTTGTAAGCAATCAGTATGTCTCTGAATTCATCAGCACATTCAGATTTTAATCAATAAGCTGAACTTCAGTCACTTTTTGCTGATAAAATTCAATGCCTGACAGATTCTCCCATTATTGTGACATTTAATAAACAGAAATAATTTTGGTAACTAAAACAAGAGAGATTTTGTCAGATTTAACTTCAGACAGTTGATAAACATGCCTTTTGATTTAATGTATGTAAACTTCTGGTTTCAGCTGTATGCACCATTACAGCTAGCTAACTGTAGTTGGTCAAGGACTAATTTCCTTGACTGTACTTGGTGCTTCTTTGTATAAAATTGGTCAGGTTTTGTGGTGAGTAGGATTTGCTTTTCCACTACGCTCTGTTAGCTTTTGGTTTCACGACTGTAAAGCAGTGTCATAAACACTAAATAGCAGAAAAAAATCTCATCACTTTTTCTTTCATACCAAAATACACAGGCAAAGAGAATTTAGTCCAATCAGGTTCCGGCAAAAACATGTCAGTTTACAAAGCTGACATTTAATTAAAAATATTTTTTTAGGGTTAACGGCTTTTTATATTACAGCTGACGTATAAGAAGTGAGTAGCCAGTACCAGTGGCAGGATGAGATCTGGGGGATGTGGCTCACAACCCAGGGTGACATCTTCCCAGAGGGCTTCATGAGCACTCACGAAAACATTTAGCTAGACAGAGTCTTGCAAAAGTACTGCAGCTGCAACATATAGTGGATGATTGAAAAGTGGACAAAGGGTATGTCTTTTTTTTTTAAATGAAAAATTTGAAATATTTAGAAAGTATTTGTACTAAACTCCTTCCAATCATTGTTTTGTTTGTTAGAGAGCATGGTTTTAAGATATAAGTAAGTAAATAGGATGAAGAGGACCACTGAACGGTATAAAGAAGACCACTGAACACATCTGACAGGTCAGCAGTAAAGCCATGGAGAAGTTTAAAGTAGGGTTATTTTGTAAAACCAATACTAAAACTAAGCATCTCACATAGCCCTTGTTTATAGTTTTCAGTTAAAGAAGTTATACTTTTTACAACAGTTGAAGCATGAAAATCATGATTCAGAAAGGTAGTAAGGTTTTAAATATTTTTTTAGCACAACTCACAGGTTATCAGGCACAGGAAGAGAAAGGGGAGCTACCAGAAAATGCCTGTATTTGATTTAGGAACTTTGGTGTCAGTTTCTTTATGCTATAAAGTTCTCAGTCTGCTCTTACCACTAAAACATTTTGTCTTTTAAAACAGTTTTTCATGGTAAGTAAAATGAAAGAAAAAATATATTTTGGAAAGCCTGTTAATTCTTCCATCCATAACTGAAGGACATTTTTCTGTCTAAGTGATTATCATCATCATTATTCCTCTTGTTACAAGTTTTCTTAAATATTCAAAAGAAAACAATAAACGAAAAACTGATCTTTCAAAAATTATGACATCTAATTTGTCCTATCATTTAGGAGTACCGCTTGAATTATTCCACACTTGTAGGAAAAACATTGGTGGATTGAGCTTCTCCTCATGCAAATGTNTTACNTACAAATGGGGCTCATCTCATTTTAAGTGAAAGTAAACATTCTTCTAAATGCTATACGATGCATAGTTACAATATTGAAAAGTCTTTCGTAAATAGCTTTTCTATGTTCTGTGCCAAGTGTACATTTGCTTTTAATAACTTTTTTAAATATATTTTTTATTTGTAAGCTGGAGATGCAAAAACATTTTTAAACTATTAGTCAGGATAGACTATTACAGCCCATAAACCATCACCTGACCACAAACATATTATCTGCTTTCACTTTTTTTTCTTTTTTTTAGCATTTTTTAATTCTTTTACCTTTGTTTTAAATAAATATACAGGTTTAATTTTATTTACAGCACAATGGATGATTATTGAATAAAATTAGTCTTTTGGACAGTCATCTTGGAATTTAACCATCTTTTAAAAACAAAAACCCAAAAAGCTTAAGGCCAAATGCCTGTTGTTTGTTCTGTCAACAACAACATGTCCTTTCCTGCAGAAACCACCTAAAAATATGTTTGTACAATTGAATGGCTTTTTTTATTTCCCTTTCAATTGCTGCATGACATGTCTCTATTTTTCTTATTTATTTGCGCTATTGAGTTGACTGTGTCTGCATCTCTCTCCTGCTTTCTCTCTTTGCAGCTGCTGCGAGTCATTAATTGTCACAGTACACTCACATATTTTTGACCTTTGCATGCACCTTAAACTCAGGTCCCAATTTAAGATGGCTGTAATTTGCCTCCATTTTTACCTCAAGGCCCCTCTGAAGATCGTCCCTTTCTGCCACAATAAAGTTGAGAGAGCTCCATCTTAAAGTCAGAAGTATTGGATTACAGTTTATGCCTTCGGTGTATGGGAGGGACAGTATCAGGTCAGGGCTTCAGTCATGCAGCCTATTTGTCTGAGTCTTGTGTTTTTTAATTGTTCACTTTATTTATTGATCAGCTCATTCCAACGTTAGAATGGTGTCTTTTGCTCTGGCCTACTGTAGATGTGTTCCCTAAAGTATGCTTGTCCAAGGCTGCAGAGGAACTGTGAGAGCCAGGACTATTGTTCAAACATCTCTGGACTATTAAGTGACTAGTTGATAGAAACTGTTTACAAGATTTGTTAAAGGGTCAAAGTATTTTCCCACTTCATTGCTCGCCTCCGCCCCTGCAGGTCCTCATCCCCAGTGTTAAACTGAGCTATAGCCATGTTCAGTTTAGGTGTGGGTCCTTGGACAGGCGGGGCCACTCAGCAGGAGGTGGAAATGTGAGTCTTGTCCTGCAAACCATTCTCAGTGTTGCATTATCAGTGCATTTTGTGGTGTGTTGTGCTGTGATTTTTGCAGTCTTACTGCTTCCCTTTTCAACTTGTTGTTCTGTATGTCGTTCATTCACCGAGCTACGGAGATATTTGCCAACATGCTTTTTTATGGAAACTTGTTTTTCTGTAATTTTGATTTGCTTTTTGCAAATTTAATTTTTAAAGCTTTAAATGTTCAAATTCTTGTATTTTTCTGAGCAGTACCGCCACTTCAGTAATATGTTTTCTAGCACCAGGTGAAAATGTTTTTTTTCTTTCTTTTTTTTAATAAAACCGTAAAATAAATGTTGCTAACTTTGGACATTGGATCCAGGACTCTAGCCTGCGTAGAAGAGGGAGGTCAAAGATTTTTCTCTCTGTATGCTCCAACCTTGTGAAATGTTGAACAAAAAGTACAAAAGTAAGAAGAAATTGTCAAAAAAAAAAGTCAAGAAATGCTGTCAACTCTAATTAGCAAATGTGTGTTGTGAAAAATCGTGATGACAGTGGTATAGATTATGCTACTTGAAATTTGTTGCAAACAAATATCTAATTTTATTTTTCTCTACTGAATAAATTCAATTAAAATAAAGATTCTTTCATTGTTAGGGATGCCAGCGGATTAAAATATGTATTTATTTCAAACCTTTTCATACATCTTTATCATTAAAAGTGATTGCCATTTCATGCCATCGCCATTAGATATGAAAGATTTAAGCATTTGAAAGACATTCCAAAAGCGTTCAACACCACAACATATTATAGTTTTGTCTGATTTCCTGTTTTGACGTACAGTTAAAAATCTCTCTCAACAAATGTAAAGGTTTTCGACTAGATTATATTCCAATCATCTAAGACCTTCCCCACTGACCTTTATCTGCAGTATGTAGCATGTTTCATGAAACAGTTGATTAAGTCTAATTGCAGCCATCTGAAGGAGCAGGTACGGCAGGTATGCTCCATCTGTGGTTTTTGATTTGACTGATGCATATTATCATTGCACCATAACACAAGCCTCATAACAATGAAACAATTAAAAGTTCCCCTGACTGTATAGCCCTGGACTAGGTCTGTTTACATTAAACCTATTTTTGTTTAATGAATTCAAGTATTCAGCATGAAATTACCAACGTACCTTGGCAAACAGCTGTGCTTAAACAATAACAAAAATTTGCTGGCGCTCTTGGCAAAGCAGTTGATAACTGTTCTTGGAACCGTTTTGTGCTCAATTGAGTGTTGTCTGGAATATTTTCTAAGCAGACTCAGTTGGAGATTTTTATTTATTTATTTTTTTACATTTTTTCTTTTTCTTCTTCTTAATGCCTACGACTTTGACTTGCGTTATTACTCATTTGGAAATAAGAATTCATAGAAAATGTAAAATTAGCTGATTTTATTCAAAATAAAACAAAAAAAAAATGAATACAATAATAAAGTAACAAAGGGGAAGTTTGATACAATTCCTACAATGTAATGTGTGGAATTTTCTATATTCTATAGGAAGATTAAAGATGGCACAACAAAAGTAATATATTTTATTTGCAACAAGGGGAACATGGTTCAAAACTTTCTTTGGCACTCTTATACCAAAAATATACTTTTTAAAGTTTTTGCAGATTATCTGCCAATGTCTGAAGAAAGTGATGCAAGAGTTTGAGAGACTTCATAGATATAGAACTGCTGTTTATTGTCCTCGCAGAATGTTTTTTTTTTTTTTTTTTAAGATTTGGAGTTGCCTTTCATATCACAACCCAACAGGAAGAGTTGAATGGTTTGTCAAAGGATTGAAAGACTTGATGCTCTAATTCAATACTTACACAAAGCACAACACATTATTTTTGACTTTGTGTTCATGTTTTAGTTTTCATACCAGTGAAGCTTCTTTATGATTCACCGACACCACAACTTTTCAAACCAACATTATTATCCTTGTAGGTGCAGAAGCTCCAACAGCTGTACTAGTCTGCATCTCATTATCTTCATTGTTCATCGTCTGGCTTCTATTCACATGTTCATAACGAAGCTTCTGTATTCCAGAATAATCATTGAAAAACATGAACTATGTCGGTGACCTTACATGTTGCAGTGATTCATTTCAGCCAGTGTTGTTTCTCTTCTTACTCATTTTGCTGTGCCTAGAGCTTTATTACTCCTTTCTGTTTGCTGTCTCATAGTGTAGAAGTAGTACTGTAGTAGTCCTGCTTTGAATCTGATACAGAATCTTTGGAGAGAGCTGAACATAAGGATTATTTTCTACAGGAATCTTCCAATTGATGTAAATAAAAAAAAATAATAAAAACATTTTCATATTCTTCTTCAAAAGACTTTTTCCACCTATTTTTTTGTCTATTCAAGAAGATGTCTGTTATTGTGTTATTGTGATAAGAAAAAAAGATCTGGGCACAGAAAACATTAAATGTAAGAGTCAATATTATTGGACATAACTGCAAGGATTGATAATTACATATGTTTGGAGAAATGTGCTAGAGAATTACCAACACAATTTAACACCTCATTTTAAGCTGGTTTAACTTTGATCCCCAGCGTCTCTTGGAGCCAATGCTATTACCCCCAAATTTGAGGCCTTTGGGGTTGAGGTTGAATTATTTTCTTTATTAAAAAGATGCATGGCGGAATTGCATATCTTACAGCACGCCATCTGCTGTAACTCGGAGAAATTTGGTTCTTCTTTTTTTTTTTTTTTACATGATTTAGACTCTCAAAATGTTGACTTTATTTCTCAACTTTGTCTTTTCCAGGTACAAATACAGAACAAGAAGATTGACCTGAGCCATGTGACCTCCAAATGTGGTTCTCTCGACAACATTCATCATCGACCAGGTATAAAGCTCCATAAATAGTTGGTGATACAAAGAGAGTCAGGGGTGATGTGAATGACAGCAGCTGTGGGTGTTTTGGGAAGCCTTATTCACTGGCATGCATCCCCATCCACACCTGTTGGAAACCTTTGTAAACACGAGTGCAAAGCTTTGAATTGATCTTCCATTGCAACAGTATTATCTTTTGCTCGAAAATTCATAAAATGTTACAGCAAAATTCATAAAATTTGACATCCATGATATTTACCACTAAAACATGTTTTACAGTTATTGCTCACCTTTAAAAATAACATGACATATAAATCCATATCTGTTAGTGAGGCTGGATACTTAACATACTGCCAGATGCACTGCGCAGAATGGCAGACAGCTTTTAAAGAGGTGCATCAGACAGCAGCAATCTGGGTTCATCAGGTCTCCATAACAACCATCTACATGCCTTCCAAAATGCCAGCCATTTTGGAAGGCATGCCAGGAAAAAGGCCTTTTCTGTCCAGCTATTACAAAGGTAAAAGTTTGGAGGGGATGGAGTCTTTTTATTGAAACACTGACTTTGAGATGGGTTTAGTGCAAAACAAAGATAAGTTATCATGTAGTTTATTGTGCATAGTGGGAGATCTGTCATGCTGTGGGCTTGTTTCTCTTACAATGGCTATGGACATCTTATTAGAAATCTTCACAAGCTCTAAGAATAAGGGCAATCTACTAGAGAAAAAATAGAATCTGTTATTAGTACTTCCTTCATTAGGATAAGAGTTTAAAGCCATTCGGTCAAATTGAGCAAGAAATGAGTCACCTCAGTTGGAATGAAACATATCCCATGCAAAACATGCAAAACTATCCAGCAGTTAGCTGAGGGTCAGATGTGTAATTGCAGTAGTTTTATGCAATCGGTTATATTTAGATGTAGAAAATTGAAAATATTGCTCTGACTGACTTGCTTCTCAGACACTAAATAACAAATCCATTTCAGCATAAGTAATGGCTGTTTTGTAGCTTATATAAATCTCTGAAATAACCCGTCAATCACTCTGGGTTGCTGAACTCTTCAGTGTCCTGGTGTGCTGGAGGAACAGCAGCTGAACTGAGGCATGAACTGCATTTGGATTGACAGCTTGATGGATCTGTCCACAGGCAGTGGACTGTAGGAGGTGTTTTTCGGGTCCCTGGCAAACATTGCTGCGGTTGCTTTAATTCTTTCTACAAAATGAGTGTGAAACAAGATGTTGAGAGCTGCATTGCATCACACCTCAGCTGGCTCAATCCAGAAGCATTGAAAGTCTCAGTTCTGGCCTCTACAAGACATGAAGACATGATAAATGCTTTAAGGGTTGCTCTGCTTTTTTTTTTTTATTAGCTTTTTTAGCTTGGACATATGATACTTTCTAAGCATCTGGATAGTCTCGAATGTTGAACACTTAATAGTTGTAGTGAATGGTTAGATCTCACACACGCATATAATTAGCTTGCATATGGTCTTTGGCCATATGTGATTGTTATTTTGGTTCTGTATGTTTAAGATGTCACATTGAAACTCTCCAAATAATATTGCAGCAGTTGTTTGTTGCCGTTCTAGCTCCCTCTGCTGGTATCTTTTTGTCACAGTTATTCTTGCTGCTCTTTATTATTTGGGGTTTTATGTGCAGGTTTGTCCCCAGTGTCAGCCCTAAGGCTCATTCCCAATGGTGGGGTCAGTTTATTGTTATTTTTATTTAACCTTTATTTAAGCAGGATAGTCCCACTGAGATCAAAGACCTCTTTTACAAGGGAGACCTGGCCAAGACAGCAATAAAAACAAACACACATTTAAATTTGCTCGCAGAAAACACTCACGCACAGTGCACTCCAAAGATATTACCATATTTTTAAAGCCCTTCGATGTACCAAAGGTTTGAGGTTGAAGCATATAAATTATAAGTTGTTCCAGGCACGATATGCCGAAAACCTTAAAGCTGCCCACTTTATTTTGAACTTGGGGGAACTTTAGGAGAACATCCATACATCTAAAAATAATCTAAAATACCTGAAACTGTTAAAATTGGACAGACTCTCAGTTGGATCAAGGTCTGGAATTTGACTAGACCATTCTGACACAAATATGCTTTTATCTAAACCAGTTCACTGTAGGTCCGACTGGGTGTTTAGAGTTTTGTTGTAAAGTGAATCTCCACCCCACACTAGAGTCTTTTTCAGTCTCGAACAGATCTTTCTCTAGGACTGACTTGTACTACTCATTACCTTAGATCAACATTTAGTATTAAACATTTAATATCGGAGCATTGTGTGCTTTGTGTTACCTTATAGGTGGGCGGAGAACCAACATTTAGTTTTATACCAAACTAATAATCTTGCCAAACATGGAGAACCAACATCTAATTTTACCAGAACAACTATGAGAGACCCCTACTAGTTTATAAATTACAGACTACTTATTGTTTTTAAACATGGGGAACCAATATGTTTACCTTTTTGTCTTTCTTTTGGTTTGTTGTTTTGTTTGTATTTCCTTCTAATTCATGTAAAGCACTTTGAACTGCCTTGTTGCTGAAATTATGCTATTTAAATAAATTTGCCTTACCTAAATATGTTCGTCTGTCTTACCACCTATCCTGATCAGTGTTTATGTTCCTACTCAAGATAAGCCTTCCAGTCCAGTTCACATCAGCTTGATCAATATCCTAAAGGGAAATGAATCATCAGACATCATAGCTACAAAAACAAAAGGACACAGAGTTACATAAAACATCAACAGTCAGTCCCTTTATCTCCACAGTGTAAGCTGCCGTCACCATAAGCCACCATGTGGCAGCAGTAGTTTTTCAGCCTCTTCTTAAATGTCTTTTCTGTATCTAAGTAGCTTGTGACAAAGTCTGTGCTTGATCCCCTTTTGCTTTTTTAAAACAATGATGTCCTTTTTCCAAATCAGATCACAAAGGCTATTTAAGGCTACTAAAGTAAAAGCAGCTTAAAACAAATGCAAGACACAAAACGTTTTGAAAAGAATGTGACCTTTTTCTTTCACTTAATGCTATGCGCTATTTTATGTTGTACCATCTCATAAAACCCAATAAAATGCACAGAAGTATATACAAAATAGTACAATGGTTAACACTTTGTACTTTAGCAAGGGGGATGATTATTTTTCTTCTTCTTATACTCAGGTGGCGGTAATGTGCGAATAGAGAGTGTGAAGTTGGATTTCAAAGACAAAGCTCAAGCCAAGGTGGGTTCACTGGAGAATGCACATCATATTCCTGGTGGAGGTCGCATTATGGTGAGTGTTTAAATGCTAAACGCTTCTACGCATCAATGAAGGGGAGAGAATTTGTTTGAGACGTCAAATATCTACAAAAACGTATTCTGTTTTGACTGACTAATCACACATCAAAGTCTTGTTTTTTTTTTTTTCTTTTTTAAATATTTGAGAAGACAGACAGACTGTCTGCCTGCAGTTACTTAAACTTATTCTCATGGTATTTTTTTTTTTAAACATATTTTCTGCATTTAACAGATTGAGAGCCACAGGCTGACATTTCGTGAGCATGCAAAGGCCCGTGTTGACCATGGAGCTGAGATCATCGTCCAGTCACCTGGTCTGTCAGGCTCCGTCTCTCCCCACCATCAGAAGGAAAGCCAGCTGTCGTCCTCTGGCAGTCTCAACATAATGGAGTCTCCACAGTTAGCAACCTTGGCCAAGGATGTAAGTGATGCCTTAGCCAAGCAGGGCTTGTGAACACTGGACCTCTAGACTGCTGCTGTGCATCCAAGACACCCTCACCTTTAAGAACTCTTCTGCCCTCTCTCGCCATCATGAAACAAAGTGGTTACCATTGATGCTCAGCACACAGAGGTTTCCTTAACATCTTTATCGCAGCATCTGTCACTAAACTCTAAGCAGAGACTAGACTTAGAAGCTACTGTGTTTTGGTCTTCTATTTTTAACCTTAAACATGTGTTTTTTCTGATTTGTTTTGTGGATATTCCTTTATGTTTTGAACAATGTTTCGCATAGTTAGACTGGGCGTTTGCTCTAGATTAAGTGGTATATCTGTCAACACTGGCTTTACTGGTCTTGGATCAGCGTATCGAAGAAGCGACAGCCTTTTTTTTTCTACTCTAAGCAACTAAAGACATGGCCTGTACACCATGCCACCCTTTGTGTTCTTGCTCAGCAAACATGCATGATTGCCAGATCCCCTAACAACGAGCATCTTTACTGTGAGTCATTGTTGACTCGATACATGATCTGTTTAAAAATAATAATATAGAGATCTCTATAGGATACAACCACTTTCCCATTCACATGTCTCACATTTTAAAAGGAAGCAAAAATATGGCTATAACATATTACTTTACAATGGCATATATGCAAGAACCACATCATGTTATGACAAGCATGTATGAATCAAATATGAAAAGAGGCTCTTTTGTATTGAAGAAAAAAAAATACATTTTAGTAAATAATTTCCTCATTTATTGGATAAAGATAAACAAGTTCATGTTTTGTAGTTAATAGATGTTTTACAGTGTAATGCTTGGTGACAATGTCCAAGACTGATTTGGTGTTGCTGAGGGATGCATCTCCGTCTTGTCAAACAGCCTTACTCACTTAAACCTGCTCAGCAGATCTATATAGACGCCTGCTTAAAACACTTGGAGCTCATTCCACAAATATCTGTCCCAGAAGGAAATTGTTTGAGGAGCAACCAATAAAGTTGATGTTTAAAGTCGAGGATGATTGCTGTCTGAGCCACTGAAGAATAGATGCTACGGCAGATGATGCCACTTCTCCAAAACGTATGTGTGTGCGTGTGTGTGTGTGTGTGTGTGTGTGCGCGCGAAAGCATGTATATGTATATGTGTGTGTATGTGTGTGTGTATGCATTTGGTGCAGATCCCATGCCGTTTTATGGAGGGACGCCGCTGTATTTGGGTTGTTTGTCGTGATGTGTAGGGAGATGAAATTGTTAAAGGTAAAAAAAAAAAAAACTTTTTAAAAGCCTTAAATAAAAAAATAAATAAATAAAAAAATACTCGTCAAATGTCCACTGGGAGAAAGAACTCGGTCAGCTCCTCATATATCTGTTTGGACAAAATGGTCGGGTGATCTAGATTTTTCTTTGTTGTTTTTTTTTCTCCAGACACTGTTTGTGGTATGACCCGCTTCCTGCCCAATTACTGCCCCCCCCCCAAATGCAACTGTTTGTTTGCTTCTGTGTTTATTCTGCATCCCCCATCTCCGTGTGCCTCTCCCCCACCTCTTGCTCCACCCTGCAGCAACTCTTAATGTATTTAAAAGGTCAAGTAGATGTATGCAGTTTTTCTCCTGTTGATATGACACCAATTATGATAATTAATGACAATAAAAATAACAAAAAGTGACACGCTTCTTGTTTTCTTTTCAAATGATCAAAAATATGTTGACATAGTTAGAAGTACACAATGATGATTATGCAGAGGTTTATTGATTTGCAGTAAGTAAGCCAATACACTGCATTGATTGATTGACTTGTTTGATCATGTTTTGTTTTTGTGTTATACAGTGCTTTGCTAAAGTAACAATCCCCTTGAAAGTTTTGCACATTTTCTCTTGCCACAGGTTATCATTTGGGTTTTAGTCTGGACTTTGGCTGAGCCATTAATATGCTTTGATGTAAAACATTAAGTTTCAGCTCTGGCTCTATAGTTACAATCGTTGTCTTGCTGGAAGGCTGAACTTTCTCTAGTCTCTTATTTTCAGCGTTAACCAGGATTTATTTGATGTTTGCTCTATATTTATCTCCATCCATCTTCTCATCAGATTTGACCTGTAATCTTGTTCCTCCTGAGGAAGAAAAGCATCCCAACAGCATGATGCTACCATCATCATGTTTCACACTGAGTGTTCTGGGTGAGCTGCATTGTTTTTATGCCAAACATAGTGGGTTTTTTTAATACATTATAAACATAAAAATTCCATTTTGAAGCATCAATTCCCCTTCATATGTTGTTCTTCTTCACTTTATTTCTAGAGCTAAGGTTTACTATGACTACCAAATGTTGCTTCAAACTGAGAAGACGGAAAAAGTTATGGCACTATAAAAATCATTCATATAAAAAGACATGTTTGGTCAGACTTACCTTTTAGGGCATCCGTAGGCTGAACAATTTTGTTTACCTAAAAAGTGTCATACAAACATTACTTTGCTTATACACACACTTCAACTTAAATGCTAATCAGTTAATATGTGCATCTATTTCTTCAGGATATGCAGCACCTTGAACTTTGGTGAGTAGCTCACTAGCAGAATATTATTAGAAATTGCACAAAAATAGAGGCAAATATTCTGGAATAAAATGGGAGTGTGAAAAGTTTATTGTGAAATGGCAGAGGATACAATAACTTAAGACTCAGGGATGGATTGAGTGAAGGGTGGATTGATTTTGATGGCCAGTCCTGGGCCAAACAAGTCACCTACATGGCAGATAGACAGCCAGCCAAACAATGAGGGGGAGGAAATGGTCATTTGTATTCCACCTCCCCCTCCATCACTGTTCCTCTGTAATAACAAAAACTCCAATGAGACCACGGGACCTGAATGAAGATGAAGGAAGAATCACTTCGTCTGCAATCGTTACTGCTTTCCAAAGTAGCAGGAGGAGGAAGAGAGAAATGAAAAATAATAATAAAGCACCATTTGGACAAAAGAGGAAAAAAAAAGTAGGATTTAACAAAACAGGGTTCAGGAAATGACATCTCTTAGTCCTTTGTTCCCCCTGCTTCCACAAGTTGATTCAGGAAACAGCGAGTGGATGTCGCGACACCATGGGGTCGTCTGCACTAGTCGATGTTCACCACCGCAGTGGCAGGGTCCTTACACAGACATGATGTGCTTGACAAAGGCTGCAGATGAAGACCAGGGCAATATACAGAAAGAACAGAGTAGAAAAATTAACGAGGAGACAAAAACTGGCAACATGACATGAGTTAATGAACTACTAATACCATGTGATGGTGTAGCAAGCACCGCAGACACAGTAACTCCGTATCAGACTTCAGTGAATGTTCAATGACCTGCTGTCTCAAACATTAAGGTAGCCATGTCATAAGAATGTATTCTATTTTATGAGCAGTAGATGGAGACTGAAAATACATTTAAAGGGATAGTTCAAGACTTGGGAAGTGAGGTTTTGCTGATGGGTTATAAGAAATTAATATTTTACCTGCAGTAAATAACTCTCATGGCATCTTCATTTAATATAAATGTGGATTAACTACTTCCAGAGGCTGAAGGTAGTGGCTAGGTCAGGAAAAAGCTAACTTCAATCTCCTTAAAACACCTTCAATCCAAAGATGTCATCAAGGCTCATACAAACAATATTTTATGAACCATAAAACTTAAAACACTGTTGCTATGGGTAATTTATTTTACAGCGAAGCCAAACATTATCTATGTGGTGAAGTGGGTCATTGCTGAAAGCTTTAATCCATATGACTTTTGCTTGGTGTAGCTGCACTATTATTTCATTGAAGTAATGTGAGGGTGTAGTGTGTGTTTGCATAGACCAGACAGTAACCTTTCATGTATAAGTGACAAGGAGAGGCCTCAACTGATAAAACTGAAAATCACATCTGAAATCCGTGATTTCAGATGTGATCCATTTGTCCATTTGTTGCCATCTGGTGGCAGAAGGCAGAACAATCCAAATGGGTCTCTTATTTGGCCAGTCCTGGCTAAAACAGGAGAGTTGCAGCAGTCCTGCACATCACCTCTCATCTAAAAAGTAATGACTGACTTTAGTGTAAACAACAGTGTAATGCTATTGTTATGACAGCTTAAAGGTTCATAAACTAACGTTCACAAAAAACACTATTATGTTTTTGAGAGAGGAGTTGTTGGTCTTGTTTTAAGTCAGCAGAAAGCTGCTTTGTTCTTGGCACCTCTTTGAGTGACTATTTCAGATTTGTACTAAATGAAGATACCAAGCAAGAAATACCACAACACCTAAAGGTTTAACCACCTGGTTTAAAATAGTTCCATTGTGTAGCTCAGTTCTGTAGTAGTAGTAGTAGTAGCAGAAATAGTGTTACGGTAATTTTTGGCTCACCCTCATAGTTGATGCAGCCATTCTCATCCTCCTGTCCTGCCATAAGGGCATCGATTTCAGTCTCATTCATCTTCTCTCCTGCAAGGGGTCGCAGAACACATTCAGTGTTGAAAACACATAAAGTAGCATGGGGGGTGCCATATAAATCACCAGAGCCTAGTTCAAACTTACCAAGTGTTGACAGGACAATACGGAGCTCAGCGCCCATGACTGTGCCGTTTCCCTCCTTGTCAAAGACACGCAGACCCTCAACATAGTCCTCAAATCCTGCCTTGTTTGGGCTGTTGATGATTGTCTGAAGCATAGGCAAGAAACCCTCAAATTCTACTCTCTTGTTGGCCATGTCTGTGGAAGAAGAAATAAAAAGCACAATAGATATTTCACTAGTATACCTCAAAGAGCTGAATAACCTGCTATATATCATCCCTCCACCATGGCTGTAGTGGAGAAACTAAACTGCAGCAGCTCACAAACTGCTTTTATTTTTTGCAAAACACATTAGTATGAATATTTCTGGTACTAGTGACTTAAGAGTAAATTAAAGGCAGGATTTTTTTTTACTTTTTAATTTTATTTTCAGATGTGACATTGTGATGTTGGAATAAAAGATAATATTCACGAAACGTCCCACATTTTATTAATTGTCCTAGAAGTTACGTTTGCTTTAAGTAAACTTCATCACTGGTACTTCTCAAAAGCACATCTAAGTATTTTTTTATGTTAACAAAGCTTATGATGAAGGTCTGATGCATATGTTTTCAACATATGGGCACTACTGTAAACTACACCACAGCGCCCTCTTGTGATAAAAGGTTCAAATATGCTTCTTGATTATGCTCTTCTATTTTTCTTGTTTTTTGAGCAGCATAGCTTTCATCATTACTAAAAAGTATGTGTTCTAGTATTTAAAATAATTTCAAAACTACTTCAGACATGTCCAAAGCACTACCGCAATGTCTATTTGACTTCTTTTAACTAGTAAACTGAATATTTGCCTGCTGAAAAACACTGTTGCAATTTAAGGTCCTGAAGAAATA